CCAAAGTAACATCACCAGACTTGGTATGCGCAGTTATACTTTTTGATTGAGATTACAGAGGCAGACCGGAAAAGCCGGCATTAGGCCAGCATTTCAATTTTAATCCATACACTGATTTGGCTGACCAGGAAAATTGATTGCCCATCGCTATTTTCCTAGATGAGTGGTTTCTTATTGAATATGTCGTGTAATTGAGGTAGCAATTACCATAATTATGACAAATGTACGAGTCTACACAGTCGACGTTCAACGCAAAAGTGATCAGCAAAAACTAGGCCCGCCTTTTTGGATAGAGGGTTGTCGATGAGAATTATTGCAAATTACTGACAGGCACCATCGACTGATATTTAATGATACACATTTCACCGAACAATATAGATTAGCCTTGCTGAAATCTGTGCTCGTCTATCATCAAGACGTTGCCATTCAATCCGTATGAACCGTCTTATTCCAAAAGTTGATCTACGGAGCAACGGCATGTTCCTCGTTACAGCTGGCAAGGAAGTTCATTTGCTTATAACTCCTTTGAGCTTCAAGAGGCCGATTACAAAAGTAACACATATTTCTGTTTCGATACTATTGCTATTTGTGTCCATGCCACATGCTTTGCAACTGCCATACTTTTTAGTATTGGAGAGATATGATGCATGGCGTGTCCCCATGGATGAACCGTTGTTGATACAGTTCATCTCTGACAACATACACGAGGAAATCCATGTCGCTGCCTTTCATCTGAGTGCGTATTTTCGCATAACCACTTATGTTCGATCAATTAAAGAACAGGCTCTATCTCCTAGCCGACCACCAAGAGAGTTTGGTACACATGTCATTACAGCGACTTCCTCCCGGAAACACCATGCAAAATCAGCAGCTTTCAAAAACGACCGATTTAGAGGAGTTTCGCTGGAAATCAAGTACTGATTGGTGGATACGATGTTATGGTTAGCATCCCGAAGGGTGGAGCAACGGAAAGACAGTGTCGACTTAAAATTCTCCAGTATACATGAATTATGAGGAAAGCTACATAGATTAAGTCCATGAATTTTGAGGCAGCCTTTAGGCTCAGGACTTTTCGCTCGCGCAAGAAGCAAATTGTGTGAGCTTATTACTACCACGATCATAATGTGCCTTGGTCGACGAACGATTACCAGAAACCACTGTACCAATGGAAAGAGTGCTAAGAAGCAGCAGTGTCGCCAGGTCGTTTTTTAGAAAAGAAAAGTTTCACGCGTGACTTTCCTGGTTAATGATGGTGCACTCTTTAAAAGGTATGCTTTAAACTCCGGAGGTGAAGGATTCAATTCTACCGAAGGACATATTTTTGTCATATCTACGAATTAATGAGTTTACCACTCGCTGCTCAGTTGGTATTACACCGGACTCGGGATCGAGAGGTCTCTCATTCGGGACACTCCTCTTTCTTCCTTTAAGGTTGACAAATGAGTACCACTCCGTGGGAAGGAAACATGAAACTGTGTCCCATGCTTTTCACATGGCTATAATACAACGTAGACTTACAAATCAGGCACTTCTGACTACTGACATGGAAAGGAATAGTAGCGACCCACAGGAAACAAAAACTATTTTTTCGAAAACGATTAATGTCGTGGAAAAATGTCCCCAAATTTAAAGTTAAAAGAGGATCCATGATTGCGCAGCATTTTTGGCACTGTCCTTCGAACAGTTATGCCACAGAGCGAATCTCTTTCCTCCGTCGTTGTCTGATGATTCATGAGCAAGCAGTGCTTTTTGGCTTTTAAGGTTAGACCTACAGAAAGGTGATCTGTATGTAATTTAGTTCCCTGCTTTTTTCCGATGAAGAGGCATTTATTTATTTACCTCAGAAAAATGATATGTGAAACACCTCACCAGAGGCACAATCTTTCGACATTGATTCACACGCGCTAACGACTGATATGACTTGGTCATGTCACATGATTGCCGGATTCTCATGTTTCTCAGGCGACCTGCCAGGGAGGAACCGCTCTTTTTTCTTTGGGAGGATGTCTTGTGATAGTGCGAAAGTTTTATGAGTCATCCATACCTTATCGTACTGTGTATGGCTTGCAATATTGGGGCTTCACGAATATTTTGCAATCAGCTCATCCATTATCGATTCCACAAACAGACTGCATAATTCGTATACGATACTCTGTCTGACTTTGACTACATGCGAAACAGTGTTTTCTTCACCGAACGGTTTATTATAACAAGGCGCATAGGTAATGCACAGTCAACGTTAATCTTAATGAACTTATATGTTTACATAATGTGGCATCGATGCACATGGTTTTGGTCAAGATCAAGGAAGCTCACACAGACATATAACCTGTGCAATGAAACATCAACCATCATTCTGAAGGTTTTATGTCGTAGCCATCGTCATTATTAATATTTGGCTTTTTTCGCGATTGGCCCTGTTCGGCGATGGATGGCAGAGCTAGATGAGTGATTAGATGTTGCGATACTCAGAGCCAGTTTTCAGAAGAGCACTTGAGATGCGTTGTAAAGAGTGAGACAGCACTCAACCGTTTTTTGTTGGACTGTGATTTCAATCTTTGTTTAGTCTGTGTTTTGTTAAGCATTACTGCTTGGGGCTCCTCTTTACCAGAAAACGTTTGTTTCTGTTTGTCGACGCCGTGATACTTATTATTTCAGAGCCATACTGTAGTCTTCATGGAAAATTTAAAATCCAATAATGCGATTCCACAGCTGCGATGGTTTGGGCACGTGTTGTGAACGTCTTCAAAAAGGTAGGCGAAACAGCAACTACTTGCACAGTCGAGCAGCGGAAGACCGTGAGGGCGGCCAAAACTAACCTGGAGCAGATGCGTCAAATGACTCTG